ATCGGGCACTATAAAATATCTCAGGATGCCGTAATCATCCTCTTTACCCGCCACGTGCTCCTCCTATTTTTCGGCCCGGTTAAGGTCGGGATCGTTGATTGCTACTCCCTCCGTTCCAGTTTATGTGAACCTATTTCCTTTTTGGTCCGTTCTAAAAAGAATGACCTCTTTCTAAATTTGGAAACAATTTAGCTTAAACTTCCAATTCTACCCTTAATGAGAAGCTTTTATAACCACACAAATACTCTAGATCCCTTTTTGATTTGTTTAGGACCACAAATTTCAAAAATCTTCATTTTTTCTTAAACTCCATGCACAGTCAAGCAGGTTCACATAAATTGGAACGGAGAGAGTATATGGTTTCCTTTTCTTCGGCAGGTTCCTTGTTTTTTGATGACGAAACCGTGAGCACTAAGATTACTTTATCGACAATGAACATTTCCTTTGTGGCCGGATGTTCCACATAGACTGTATTATACCTCATATCCCCCTCGATCACGTAGAACCTTGTTTTCCTGGGTGGTCCCGGCAGTGTTTAGCGATAAAGTTATCTCACCCTTCATTGTCTCGCATGCCATGTTGAATCCGTTCAATACCCGGACCATCGATACGATTGGGTCCAACAATCTAGTTGTTCTACAACCCTCCATCGAATGATATTGGTCGAGCTACCTGAATCAATCAACACGCGTTTAACCCAAAATTTATTGATAAGTATGGACATTACTAGTGCATCGTTGTGAGGCTGGACAATGCCCTCGGTGTCTTCGTCGCTGAATGAGATGGATCCTTCCGGGACATAATCTTGGGTGCATTTTTCCCTCGTGATAGAAACTTTGGTGCGTTTTATCATTGGCCCATAGGGGGCATCCACTCCCCCAATGATCATGTTGATCACGTGCTGAAGCTCTCTTATTCGGTCTGTTTGTTGGCGTCCCTGTTCCTAAAGTGATTTTTGGCCTGTTCGCTTAGGAATTCTCGAAGGTGCCCATTGTTGAATAACCGAGCTAATTCTTCTCTTGGCTGTCGATAATATTTGGTCCTACGACCGCGAGTACCGTGGTATCTACATACCAAGCTATGATCCCTCTAGGCGGCATCGGACTGCAGTGGTCTAGGCCACTTAGTCTCTTTGATGCGCCCTATAGCTGACACTATACTGACAGCATCCACGTTGAAATTGTATTCTGATAATCTCGGCGGTTCCTTACCCCCGTACAACCTGTCCAAACCATTTTTGCTCATCAGGCCTCGGCTACTCGGTTCTGGATTATTTCTCTTGACATTCCTTGTCTGGTGGCGCCCGAATTCATTTCCCCTCCGATCTACCGTATGGCTGGTATCGATCTCGGACCAGCTTTGGCTCCTGGTTGATGATTCTCTTAGACCTGTCATTTGTTCTGTTGGGGTAAACAGACCCCGAGGGGGCCCCAGTTGGCCGTCCTCGACTCTGATCTTCGATTAAGACCTATTGTGGACGTCGGCCCAGGTGACCGTCAGGTACTTCACCAAGTTTTTCTTTATTTGTTGAGAAGCCACGGTACTTTGGGGGTTGAGCCCTTGAGTAAATGCGGCCCAATCATCCGTGACTAGGGGCAGGTCCATTCGTTCCATCTGGAACCTCGATACGATCTCCCTAAGAATCTCATTATCCCTTTGCTTGACTTTGAAAAGGTCCGACATCCTCATCTCAACCTTAATGGTACCGGCAAAGGCCTTTTTTAAAGCATCTGCAAGCATAGCAAATGAATCAATAGAAATCGGAGGCAAGTTGTGATAAATTGCTCCCTTTGACAAGGTTTCCCCAAATTTTTTCAACAAAACCGACTCGATCTCGTCATCTTCCAGGTCATTTACCTTGATTGGGCATGTTTTCACGACCCAAGTTCGCCCTCCATGAACATGTCGTGACGGCACCTAGTCTCTACCACTAGGTAAGCCTAACAAATTGCGGAAAAACTAATAAAACTGAAGATAAACAACATAGAAGCACATAAGGTGCCGCTCGGCATAAACCAATACAATATCTCAAAAAAACTTAACAACTCCCAAAACCCGGAAACTCACGAAGATGTTCGAACCATCGGAATTCACATCCAAGACCTACTTCACATAAGTTAACATCCGATTGACTTTTCCAACTTAAGCTTAATCAAAAGAGACTAAGTGTCTCAAACCTTTCCAAAACCCTTCCAAACTGGAACCAACCAACCCGATACCATATAACACAGATGAACAAAGCATAAAGAAGCAGAAAAAGGGAAAACGAAGTGATAACTCATAAAACGACCGGTCGGGTCGTTACACATGTATAGGAGGTTACATGCTCGTTTGGATATGTGGTCCCATTATACTTGGTAATGTCGGGCATTTGAAACCTCTTCAGGATCGGCTTCGGTTCCACGCTCGGGGAGGGGGGGAAGGCTTATGATGATTTTTTTAAAGTTGGCCCCTTCAATATTGGGGGTATTCCCGAGATCTGATCGACCCTGGAGTTATAAGTTTGCACCTTCTTGTCATTGGCCTCTATATTTTTCTCGCCAGACTCTACCCGCTTTGTCAATGCTTCGAGCATCTTCATCACCTCGAAAGTTTCCCCGGGCCCGAATTCATCTGGTTCCAGGATAACTTGTTCATCCCTTCCAAGTATTTTCCCTCATCCGCTCGGGCTCGATCCTATTAGGGATGTGACTCTGGGTCTGTAACTGCGCTGTTGCTACTTGCTGAGCTTGCAACATTTCGAAAATCAACCGCAAGCTAACCTCATCACCTTCCCCTTCGAGGGCCTATCGAGCCGATGTCCGGGGTGCCCCGCGAATGCTGTTTTCAGGGTCGGTTGCAGATTGATGTTGATAGTAACCTGTGAGTTAGCGTCGATCAGGTCGACGACTGGGACACCATTAGGATCAACAGGGGCACCTCATTGCTAGGTACCACGTTATTATTTTTGCCGTGGTGGCCTGACTCGGCATCAGCGTTCAAGTGAGCCTTACTGAGAATTTGACATCTTTAGGTTAACCTGAAATCAAAACTTCAAAATAACAAGTGTAAAATAGGGTTTGTTATGGAGATTCATATTAAATCACCACTATTATCCTTATCTCCACGGTGGGCGCCAAACTGTTTACCTTTAAAAATGAGTAATAATTAAATTTGTACGCGGTTTAAAGGATACGTGATTTAATTCAATATAAATGATCTGAGGATAGCAAATAATTAGATTAAAGGGAGAATGAACGATCAAACCAATCGTAATGGAACAATCAAGCCTAGTCTTAAGTTGAACACTGAAATCCAACCTCAATCGAACCTTCGATATGGGCTCGGTTGAAATTAAAGAAGAGAGTAACTGAAGAACACTTTGAATAATAGCTAGAAGACAAAAATGACTTTTATTGCTTTGATATGCATGTCAACAGTGTTTTAGAATGAAAAATTCTTCCCTTTATATAGTAGGGGAATTTCAATCCAGTACAAGTATAAATAAGGTAAAAATCTTTTTTTTCCCGGTAAATATTGATGCCCAGATGATATCGGACGAGATTGTGCCTTAATATCCAGTTGAGGGTGAATATTATGGTTCCCTACTTGTAATACTCAATCGTTTAATTTTCCGTGGTCTCAAAATTGTACTTGGCCTAGATCCGTTGTTTAGCCGCGCTCGATCCCAGTTACATCGTTCATCCCTCTTGAGCTCCGATATGAGGGACCTTTCGGCTTCGCTTCAAGTTGCATTGGATCGTGCTTCCCTCTCGTCTCTGTAGTAGGGAATCAATTGTCCCCAATTTTACCCGTACACACATATGTCACTTATCAATATACCTTGTTCCTTCAATGTGCTTTAGAACCTTCTTTCTTCTAAATCTTCTATGTTATAACTAGGATCTGAAATAATTTCTCAATTCTATGCGTTGGTTGCATAAAATCTATATAGTCTAAATTCTGAATATTAAGGTCCGCAGAAGGAAAGTTTTGAAACGATGCACACATCTGATTTAGATACTGTTTGGGCATGAAATATACTAGTTTGACTATAAGTATTTGTAAATACTGAACGTCGCATATTTGAATTTCAAATTGTTAAAGAATGAATGTAGTCATATTCCTTGTACTATACATAGATAGTATAATTATAGGGATTGATAATCAATCTATAGGATTTTCCTCTTTATTTCTTTCCATAGTTAGGGATTCCCTATATATCCTCTTTATTCCTTTCCATTGTTAGGACTCCATGTACATCTATATGTGTTTGTTACTCAATGGAATAGAATATCGATTTATTCTCTCATACCTTGTTTATTACATGGTATCAGAGCCACTAAGGCTCAAAACTTTTCTCGAAAATAGAATCCCTTATATGTATTAGGAGAAAGGATTTTCACTTTGGATCACCCTTGGCAGTGACTGGTTTGCCTCACATCCACTATATTAGGAGGTGGAAGAGGATTTTCGGCCTAGAGACAACATCTCCGGCGACTACGTTGTCAGAGCGTGATCTCACGTGCTACTTGAAGTTTGCGAGTGTTCACCAAATGTTGATGCGTGGACTGTCAGCAACAATACTTGTTCGACAGTCCATATTTGTCTTCTTGATTCCGACGATTCTTGGTATTACTCTGGTAATTTAGTTTATTTGGAGAGATCTGTGGCTCACTTCTGTCCGCCTACACCTTGACTTTGTCTTTCTTTTCACAATTTACTTTGAGCAAGTTTACGTGCCTCAAAATTTAAAATTTCAGTTCTATTATATTTTGAGGGGACTTTTGTATATTGGACTTCTTCTTTTTTGGGTTAGAGTGGTGCTTCTATTTTCTGGTTGCGGTCAGATTTGGTGAAGTTTCTTTTGTTTACTGATTTTGTGAACTATTATTATTATTATTATTATTATTATTATTATTATTGTTGTTGTTGTTGTTGTTGTTGTTGTTGTTGTTGTTGCTGGAATTTGGTTGGTTTCGTCAATACTGCTGGATAGATAACTCACGACTAGTATGGCTATGGCTCCTAGTTCATCAATTTTTGTTTCAAATGAGTTTATGAAATCCCTTCAATGTCATAAATCAATTATGAAATCTTATTCAGTTACTGTTTTTGCTGGGTCAGATAAAATATGTCTTATCACCTCTTCAAATAAATGGGTGATTGATTCAGGTGCCATAAATCACATGACAAGTAATCCAAATATTTTTTCTAGCTTTCGCTCACACAAAGCACCCTCTCCAGCTACGGTAGCTGATGGATCAACTTGTAGTAGTGTTAGATCTGGGACTGTTAAAGCAACTTCCTCTATTACCCTGTCATTTGTATTAAGTTCACCCAACTTGGACTTTAATTTGATTTATGTTGGTAAAATTACTAGAGACCTTAATTGTTGTGTCGCGTTCTTTCCCAATCATTGTCTGTTTCTAGATCTTACAATGAAGCAAGTTATTGGTAAAGGATATTTGTCTGGTGATCTCCACATCCTTGATGAATGGGAGCCACTACCTGCTGCATGTTCCTGTGTTGTGTCTCCTTTTGAAGCACATTGTCGATTAGGACATCCCTCTCTACCTTTGTTGAAGAAGCTCTATCCTCAGTTTCAGAATATTTCTTCATTGGATTGTGAATAATGTCAATTCGCAAAACACCATCGCATCTCACTAGGTCCAAGGGTTAATAAGCAAGTTGAGTCAGCTTTTAAGCTAGTCCATTCTGATGTTTGGGGACCATGTCCTGTTGTTTCCAAAACTGTGCATATGTATTTTGTCACTTATGTAGATGATTTTTCTCGAATGACTTAGATTTACTTTATGAAGAGCCGCTCTTAAGTGTTTACTCACTTTTCTACCTTTTTGCTGAAATTAAAATTTAATTCAATGCTTTAGTGCGTATTCTGAGGAGTGATAACGCTAAAGAATACGTGTCAGAGTTATTTCGGTCCTACACAAGACAACATGGTATACTACATCAGTCTGCATGTGTTGATACACCCTCTCAAAATGGAGTTGCTGAGAGGAAGAATAGGCATCTACTTGATACAACTCGGGCACTTTTGTTCCAAATAAAGTTTCCTAAACAGTTCTGGGCTGATGCAGTCTCTACAACTTATTTTTTAATTAATCGCATGCCATCTAGTGTGCTTGGTGGTGATATGCCTTACAGTTTTCTCTTCCCAAACAAGTCAATATTTCTGGTGGAACCTAAGGTATTTGGATGCACATGTTATGTTCGAGATGTTCGACCATCTGTTACCAAGTTGGATCCCAAGGCGTTAAAGTGTATTTGCTTGGGCTATTCTCGCCTCCAGAAAGGGTTTCGCTGTTATTCTACTGAGCTTGGAAAATATTTGGTGTCAACTGATGTGGTATTTTCAGAGACTATACCATTCTTCTATGCACCTCCCATTTCTACAAGCTAGGGGGAGGAAGATGAGTGGCTAGTATATAAGGTTACTCGTTCTCTGACAGAACAAACCAGATGATGTTCCTCCTTTACCTAGTTCTTCTATTGAGCACCAATTGACTACGTGCCTTCAGCACCTGTTCCGACTGTGTTAGCAAGACAACCAATTGTTCAAGTTTATTCGAGGAGGCGAGAGTCGAATGATACATGTCCTACAATAGTTCCTTTGTCATCTGATCCTCCTCTGCCTAATCCTATAGAAAAACTTGACCTTCCTATTTCTCTTTGCAAAGGTATACGTACTTGCAAATCCACATATTCTATTGCTAGTTTTGTTTCCTATGACCACTTATTCTCTACGTCTAGATCTATGATTGCTTTTCTAGACTCCATCTCGGTACCCAAAACAATGAAGGAGGCTTTGAATCATCCTGGATGGTTTGACGCAATGTTAGAGGAAATACATACCTTAGAGGATAACCACATGTGGGATTTGGTGGATTTACCCAAGGGAAAGAAACCAGTCTGGATGTAAGTAGGTCTTCACGGTTAAAGTTAATCCAGATGGTTATGTGGCAAGACTGAAGGCTAGACTTCTAGCTAAAGGGTATGCTCAAACTTATGGGGTAGATTATTCCGACACCTTCTCCCTGGTTGCCAAACTCACTTCTGTCCGCTTATTTATTTCTTTAGCTATTTCCAAAAATTGGCCTTTACATCAGTTGGATATCAAGAATGTGTTCCTTCATGGTGATCTTCAGGAGGAAGTGTATATAGAGCAACCACCCGACTTTGTTGCTCAGGGGGAGTATGAGAAAGTCTGTCATTTGAAGAATTCTTTGTATGGCTTGAAGCAGAGTCCTCGAGCTTGGTTTGGCAAGTTCAGTGAGGTAGTTTAGGAGTTTGGGCTGAAAATGAGTAAATGTGATCACTCGGTCTTCTATCGGCAATCAACAACTGGCATTATTCTCCTCGTTGTATATATGACAATATTGTTATCACAGGAAGTGACTATACGGGGATCTCTTCTCTCAAGTCTTTCCTGCATACTAAGTTTCATACAAAGACTTGGGCATATTGAAATACTTTTTGGGAGTAGAAATAAGTAGAAGCAAGAAGGAAATTCTTGTCTCAGAGAAAGTATATTATTGACTTGCTTGCAGAAACGGAAAAGTTGGCAGCTAAACACTGCAGTACTCCAATGGTTCTTGATGTGCACCTTATGAAAGATGATGGTGATTCTTATGATGATCCAGAGAGATACATGAGGTTAGTTGGAAAATTAAACTACCTCAATGTGACTCGTCCAAATATTGCTTTTGCGGTAAGTGTTGTTATCCAGTTCATGTCCGTTCCAACAGTCAAACATTTGGAAGCTTTGGAACATATTTTTGTTACTTGAAAGAAGCTCTTGGACTTGACATATTATATATCAATCACGGTCATACCCATATTGACTGTTTGCAGATGTTGACTGGGCTGGATCCAAAATTGGTAGAAGATCTACTACAGGCTTTTGTATCTTTGCTGGAGGGAACCTGGTATCGTGGAGGAGTAAGAAATAAAGTGTTGTATCTCGATCCAGTGCAGAATCTGAGTAGTGTTGCATCTCGATCCAGTATAGAATCTGAGTACAAAGCTATGTCACAGTCTACGTGTGAGATTATGTGGATACATCATCTTTTGATTGAATTTGGGTTGGAGCATCCAATACCAGCAAAACTCTGGTGCGGCAATCAAGCTTCTCTCCATATTGCGTCAAATCCGGTGTATCATGAAAGAGCTAAGCATATTGAAGTTGACTGTCATTTTATTCGCAAGAAGATTTAGTAAAACTTGATCTCCACTGGCTACGTGAAAACAGGAGAGCAACCAACTGATTTATTCACAAAGGCGTTAAATGAAACTCTAGTGGATTATCTTTACAACAAGCTGGGCATGATCAATATCTATGCTCCAGTTTGATGGGGAGTGTTAAAGAATAAACGTAGTCATAATCCTTGTACTATACATAGATAGAATAATTACAGGGATTGATAATTAATCTGTAGGATTTTCCTCTTTATTTCTTTCCATAGTTAGGGATTCCCTATATAGACTCTTTATTCCTTTCCATAGTTTGGACTCCATGTATAGCTATATATGTTTGATACTCCATGGAATAAAATATCAATTTATTCTCACATAACTTGTTTATTACACAAATAAAATATTGATATATTAGTTCGAAGGCAGATTCAAAGTGAAATATTGGTTTTTCACTCGCAAATCTTCATAGGCGTCTGGACAACACCCGATTTGAAGTTGAAAAAGAGTAATTGAAGTTAGAAATTGAAAAAAAGGAAATTTGTCAGGGCAGTTATCTTTAGACATAGACTTCACTTGGAATCATTAAAATGCTGGATAATTCACGCCTGTATAGGAAGTCCATCTTTTGGAATGAGCATGTATTTACATCACTGTAATCGATATATAATATTTATTGAAATGATCTTGATGGGAAGGTTTTCCATGACAAACGAAGAGAAGTTGCCTTTCTGGTCTCATGGACAACTAGTTAGGAAGAAATTATTCCCATCTCCTGTACATGGGCGGAGCTAGCATGGGGGATACGGGTTCGGGCGAACCCAGTAGCTTTAATCCAAACCTTGTATTTATGTAAGAAGTCTATTAAATATATACGAATTATCAATTTAGAACCCAGTAACTTAAACGGATTACAATCCCGAACCCATAAATTTTAAATTCTGGCTCCGCCTCTACTCCTGTACAGATACTTGCACATTTAGTAAGCTTCAACAAGTCTTGACCAATACAGAAACATTAAAGTATGATACTCCTTAGCCGAGAAGATTATTTAAAATTTCTTGTTAAAATTTCATATGGTGAATTTCAGCAACTCTTATGAAAAAAGAGTGAATACCCTTAAACAGAATGAAAGGAAAATCACAAAGCCGAATAAAATGATTATATATTGCAAGAGTAACAGATTCTGTATCCTACTCCTACGTACAATAATACATCTTACAACAACTACTCCTACTACTACGCCTGAGTCCCAAACGAGTTGGGGATTCCACCAGAGCAGAGGGGATTCCCTGAAGGCTTCTTAAACAAAATTTTTGCAGGAAAAAAAGTTAATTTAATATACATTCCATGACCATAGGAAATAGGAAGACATTTAAAAATAAGAAACAGAATATCTCATCTAACAACATGCAAATTATGCACATCAAGTCACAGATGCAATCAATGGAATCCCCTTGATCCTCTGGATTGATAGAGTTCAAGCCTGCTTTTGGATTCATGCAACAATGTCTCCACCTTTTCATCTTGGTTCAAGTATGCCTGCTTCGACGTCCATTCTAGCACTGAAAGCACCTCGGATTGAGCTAGCTCATCGCTATCAGGGACGTGCAATGCAATGTAACATAACAGAAGTAATGTAGAAATCTGAATGAACTATTTTTTCACCAAGGAAAACAAGTTGAATCAAATGTTTTTCCCCTCCCATGCTTATGATCGCTTCGCAATGATCCATGTGAAGGTAGTTATCATTGCACGCAAATTTTGCGAGTGCAATGGCTGTTTCGTTTGAAATCTCTGATTCTCGTTCATCGAGCAGCTTTACTAATGGGCTAATCATCCTCGTCTCTGTAGCTCAAAAAGTCCTAGCCAAATTCCCAATAGCTCTAATGTACGGAATAAGCAGATTTAAATCTTCTTTTTCGATGATTCTCACCAGTTGATCAACAAGAGCTTTACAAGCGGGCGAATTAGGCTTTTCAAAATATGCTATAAATATTTTTGTGGGTATAAATTATCATAAAGGGTAAAATAAAAAGTTTAAACATGTTAGATGTTGCAAATCTAGAGAAGAAATGGAGATTAGGGAATGGGATGTTGCACTTGAGAGAAGCTTCGAGAAGAAGAGGGAAGGATTCGATATTTTCTCATTATGTCCAAAATGAATTTGTTAGTCTGTACAAAAGAAGAATCAAAAGTAATAAACATAAATATTGGGCCTTGACCCTTGACCCGGTGGCCCAATTACAACTAATACAAACTAGAATGGGCCACTGCTAAATCTGATTACAATAATAGGCCCAGCAATATAACCATCACAACAATATAACCATCAACCTTTGTCTTCTAATATTCTAACAGCCCCCCTCAAGTTGGAGGGTGATAAAACCTCCAACTTGCAAAGATGAAAATGATGAGCAAGCCCAGGAAGCGCCTTGGTAAGTATATCAGCAACTTGAGCATCACTAGAAACATGGGCCAAGTTGATCAACCCATCACCAATTTTGCTTATGATAAAATGACAGTCCAGCTCTATATGTTTGGTCTGCTCATGAAAAACTAGGTTGCGAGCAATATGCAATGATGCCTGGTTATTACAGTATAAAGAAACAGGAGAAGAAAAAGGGAGACCAAAATCAAACAATAATCTGGATAGCCAAGTAACTTCAGTAGCAGCTTTACTCATGGCCCTATATTCAGCTTCAGCAGAGGAAAGAGAGACCACAGGCTGTTTCTTAGATTTCCAACTCACCAAATAGTCACCCAGAAATACACAAAAACCAGTGACAGACCTTCGACTATCAGCACAAGAAGCCCAATCACTGTCACAATAGGCTCTCAAAGCAAGGTCGGGAGAATGACTTAAGAACAAGCCAAAATCAGAAGTCCCTTTCAAATAACGCAAGAGATGTAAGGTAGCCTGCATATAAGGAATACGAGGGGTTTGCAGGAACTGGCTAAGGTGTTGTACGGCAAAAGTGATATCAGGTCGTGTGTGGGTTAAAAAAATCAACTTGCCCACTAAGCATCTATATTCTTCAGGCTTGGGCAAAGGATCACCAACAGAAGCCTGTAGTTTCTTATTGATAGTAAGAGGACAGACAACAGCTGAAGAAGCAAAAGAGTCAAATGACTCTAACAAGTCATGAATGAACTTCTTTTGGTGAAGAAGAACACCAGAATCACAATAAAGCACCTCAATACCCAGAAAATAATTAAGGGAACCAAGGTCCTTAATCCTGAACTGTTCATGTAGAAAGCCCTTCAAAGATGAAATCTCAGACAGATCAGTGCCAGTGAGAATAATGTCATCCACATACACAGCTAAAATAACCAAGGAAGAACCAGAACCCCTATGAATAGGGAGTAGTCATTCAAAGAATGAGAATATCCTCTAGAGCAAAGAGCTTCAGACAATTTTGCATACCATTGTCGGGAAGCCTGTCTCAAACCATAGAGGGATTTGAGTAGTTTACACACCAAAGGAGGAGGAGAAGAAGAAGAGGGAGAAACAGACAAACCAGGAGGTACTTTCATGAAAACCTCTTCATCAAGATCCCCATGTAAGAAAGTGTTATTAACATCAAGCTGGAACAAGGGCCAGTGCTGTTTGACAGCCACAACAATCAGGGTTTTCACAGTAGACATTTTGACAACAGGGGAAAATGTTTCATGAAAATCAACCCCTTCAACCTGAGTATCACCTCTAACTACTAACCTGGCCTTATACCTCTCTAGAGTCTCATCGGCCTTATATTTTACTTTGTATACCCATTTACAGCCTATAGGCTTTTTACCAGGGGGTAACTCAACAATATCCCAAGTTATATTAGCCTCCAAAGCCTCAAACTCCTTTCTCATAGCCTCCTGCCACTCAGGGACAGCAGCAACCTGTGAGTAAGTGTAAGGCTCAGGAATATGGAGTTGTGAAGTGGTTGCATTGAAGGATAGAGACTCAGCGCTAGAAGAAACAGGGGCAGAAAGGGAAGTAGGAAGGGTGGAACATACAAAGTCTTGAAGATAGGCAGGGACAGAATGAGGTCTACTAGACCTTCTAAGAGGAGGAGGATCAGATGATGGAGCAGAAGAAACAGGAGCAGGAGAGGATAAAGTAGAAGCTGAAACATCAGAGGAAAGAGCTAGAGTTAAAATAGAAGAGGAAGGTATAGGGATAGAGGGAGATGGAGAAGTAGTTGGATCAGGAGGGATAGGTGGGGAAGAATGACCAGAAATAGAAGTAAGTATAGAGAAAGTGGAATCATAAGAAACGTGATCAGGAGAGAGAGGAGAAGGCAAGACAGGGGATGGTGAAGGAGAAGGTTTAAGAAAGGGAAAAATGTGTTCATAAAAAATTACATCTCTGGAGACAAAACAAGAGTGAGTGGTGAGATTGTAAAGTTTGTAGCCCTTTTTGGCAAAAGGGTAGCCAAGAAAAACACATGGGATAGATCTTGGATGAAATTTATCTCTATGGACTTTAGGCATGGTGGAGTAGCACAGGCAACCAAAAGATCTAAGATGGGAATATGTGGGGGCCTTGCCAAAGAGTAATTCATAAGGACTCTTGTTTTTAAGAAGGGGAGAAGGGAATCTGTTTATCAAATAGGTGGCAGTAAGGAGACAATCTCCCCAGAACTTTATAAGAAGATGAGTCTGAGACAAAAGAGCCCTGGCAGTTTCTAGCAAGTGTCTATGTTTTCTCTCTACCACACCATTTTGTTGCGGAGTGTGTGGGCAAGAGGTTTGATGAATAATACCTTTTTCAGAAAAGAAAAGGGCCCCAGAAGAAGAAGAACCTAATTCTAAAGCATTGTCACTCCTTACAGTCTGGACTGTAGTTTGAAATTGTGTTTCAACCATGGAAATGAAGGCCTTCAAGAGGTCAAAAGCATTGTTTTTAGCCCCCAATAGGTGTGTCCAGGTAGCCCTAGTGTAGTTATCTACTATAGTAAGGAAATACTTAGCACCAGAGTGAGTAGGAGTGGAGTAAGGACCCCAAGTATCTATGTGAACAAGCTGAAAAG